ACTCACCCCACCACTCACCCACCCACCCACTCACCCACCCACCACCCTCACCCCACCACTCACTCACCCACCACTCACTCACCACACCACTCACTCACCCCACCACTCACTCACCACACCACTCACTCACCCCACCACTCACTCACCCCACCACTCACTCACCCACCACTCACTCACCCCACCACTCACTCACCCCACCACTCACTCACCCCACCACTCACTCACCCACCACTCACTCACCCACCACCCTCACCCCACCACTCACCCACCCACCACTCACTCACCCCACCACTCACTCACCCCACCACTCACTCACCCCACCACTCACTCACCCACCACCCTCACCCCACCACTCACTCACCCCACCACTCACTCACCCCACCACTCACTCACCCCCACCACTCACTCACCCCACCACGCACTCACCCCACCACTCACTCACCCCACCACTCACCTCACCCCACTCAACTCACCCCACCACTCACTCACCCCACCACTCACTCACCCCACCACATCACTCACCCACCACTCACTCACCCCACCACTCACCCACCCACCCACTCACCCACCCACACCCTCACCCCCCACTCACTCACCCCACCACTCACTCACCCCACCACCTCACTCACCCCACCAACTCACTCACACCACCACTCACTCACCCAACACTCACTCAACCCACCACTCACTCACCCCACACTCACTCACCCCACCCACTCACTCACCCCACCACCCTCACCCCACCACTCACTCAACCCACCACTCACTCACCCCACCACTCACTCACCCACCACTCACTCACCCCACCACTCACTCACCCCACCACTCACTCACCCCACCACTCATTCACCCCACCACTCACTCACCCCACCACTCACTCACCCACCACCCTCACTCACCCACCACCCTCACCCCACCACTCACTCACCCCACCACTCACTCACCCCACCACTCACTCACCCCACCACTCACTCACCCCACCACTCACTCACCCCACCACTCACTCACCCCACCACTCACTCACCCACCACTCACTCACCCCACCACTCACTCACCCCACCACTCACTCACCCCCCCACTCACTCACCCCACCACTCACTCACCCCACCACTCACTCACCCACCACTCACTCACCCCACCACTCACCCACCCACCACTCACCCACCCACCACCCTCACCCACCACTCACTCACCCCACCACTCACTCACCCCACCACTCACTCACACCCACCACTCACTCACCCCACCACTCACTCACCCACACTCACTCACCCCACCACTCACTCACCCCACCACTCACTCACCCCACCACTCACTCACCCCACCACCCTCACCCCACCACTCACTCACCCCACCACTCACTCACCCCACCACTCACTCACCCACCACTCACTCACCCACCACTCACTCACCCACCACTCACTCACCCACCACTCACTCACCCACCACTCACTCACCCCACCACTCACTCACCCCACCACTCACTCACCCCACCACTCACTCACCCCACCACTCACTCACCCACCACTCACTCACCCCACCACTCACTCACCCCACCACTCACTCACCCCACCACCCTCACCCCACCACTCACTCACCCCACCACTCACTCACCCCACCACTCACTCACCCCACCACTCACTCACCCCACCACTCACTCACCCCACCACCCTCACCCCACCACTCACTCACCCCACCACTCACTCACCCACCACCCTCACCCCACCACTCACTCACCCCACCACTCACTCACCCCACCACTCACTCACCCCACCACTCACTCACCCCACCACTCACTCACCCACCCACCCTCACTCACCCACCACCCTCACCCCACCACTCACTCACCCCACACTCACTCACCCCACCACTCACTCACCCCACCACTCACTCACCCCACCACTCACTCACCCCACCACTCACCTCAACCCACCACTCACTCACCCACCACTCACTCACCCCACCACTCACTCACCCCACCACTCACTCACCCCACCACTCACTCACCCCACCACTCACTCACCCCACCACTCACTCACCCACCACTCACTCACCCCACCACTCACCCACCCACCACTCACCCACCACCACCCTCACCCCACCACTCACTCACCCCACCACTCACTCACCCCACCACTCACACACCCCACCACTCACTCACCCCACCACTCACTCACCCACCACTCACTCACCCCACCACTCACTCACCCCACCACTCACTCACCCCACCACTCACTCACCCCACCACCCACACCCCACCACTCACACACCCCACCACTCACTCACCCCACCACTCCACTCACCCACCACTCACTCACCCCACCACTCACTCACCCACCACTCACTCACCCACCACTCACTCACCACTCACTCACCCCACCACTCACTCACCCCACCACTCACTCACCCCCCACCACTCCCTCACCCCACCACTCACTCCCCACCACTCCACTCACCCCACCACTCACTCACCCCACCACTCACTCACCCCACCACTCACTCACCCCACCACTCACTCACCCACCACTCACTCACCCCACCACTCACCCACCCACCACTCACCCACCCACCACCCTCACCCCACCACTCACTCACCCCACCACTCACTCACCCCACCACTCACTCACCCCACCACTCACTCACCCCACCACTCACTCACCCCACCACTCACTCACCCCACCACTCACTCACCCCACCACTCACTCACCCCACCACCCTCACCCCACCACTCACTCACCCCACCACTCACTCACCCCACCACTCACTCACCCCACCACTCACTCACCCACCACCCTCACCCCACCACTCACTCACCCACCACTCACTCACCCCACCACCCTCACCCCACCACTCACCCACCACCCACACCCCCCCACTCACACACCCCACCACTCACCCACCCACCACCACTCACCCACCCACCACCCTCACCCCACCACTCACTCATCCCACCACTCACTCACCCCACCACTCACTCACCCCACCACTCACTCACCCCACCACTCACTCACCCCACCACCCTCACCCCACCACTCACTCACCCCACCACTCACTCACCCCACCACTCACTCACCCACCACTCACTCACCCCACCACTCACTCACCCACCACTCACTCACCACTCACTCACCCCACCACTCACTCACCCCACCACTCACTCACCCCACCACTCACTCACCCACCACTCACTCACCCCACCACTCACTCACCCCACCACTCACTCACCCCACCACTCACTCACCCCACCACTCACCCCACCACTCACCCACCCCACCACCCTCACCCCACCACTCACCCACCACCCTCACCACACCACTCACTCACCCCACCACTCACCCACCCCACCACCCTCACCCCACCACTCACTCACCCCACCACCCTCACCCCACCACTCACTCACCCACCACTCACTCACCCCACCACTCACTCACCCCACCACTCACTCACCCACCACTCACTCACCCCACCACTCACTCACCCACCACTCACTCACCCACCCACTCACTCACCACTCACTCACCCCACCACTCACTCACCCCACCACTCACTCACCCCACCACTCACTCACCCCACCACTCACTCACCCACCACTCACTCACCCCACCACTCACTCACCCCACCACTCACTCACCCCACCACTCACTCACCCCACCACTCACTCACCCACCACTCACTCACCCCACCACTCACCCCCCCACCACTCACCCACCCACCACCCTCACCCCACCACTCACTCACCCCACCACTCACTCACCCCACCACTCACTCACCCCACCACTCACTCACCCACCACTCACTCACCCCACCACTCACTCACCCCACCACTCACTCACCCCACCACTCACGCACCCCACCACCCTCACCCCACCACTCACTCACCCCACCACTCACTCACCCCACCACTCACTCACCCACCACTCACTCACCCCACCACCCACACCCCCCCACTCACCCACCACCCTCACCCCACCACTCACTCACCCCACCACTCACCCACCCACCACCACTCACCCACCCACCACACTCACCCCACCACTCACTCATCCCACCACTCACTCACCCCACCACTCACTCACCCCACCACTCACTCACCCCACCACCCTCACCCCACCACTCACTCACCCCACCACTCACTCACCCACCACTCACTCACCCCACCACTCACTCACCCACCACTCACTCACCCACCACTCACTCACCACTCACTCACCCCACCACTCACTCACCCCACCACTCACTCACCCCACCACTCACTCACCCCACCACTCACTCACCCACCACTCACTCACCCCACTACTCACTCACCCCACCACTCACTCACCCCACCACTCACTCACCCCACCACTCACTCACCCCACCACTCCCCCCACCACTCACCCACCCCACCACCCTCACCCCACCACTCACCCACCACCCTCACCACACCACTCACTCACCCCACCACTCACCCACCCCACCACCCTCACCCCACCACTCACTCACCCCACCACCCTCACCCCACCACTCACTCACCCACCACTCACTCACCCCACCACTCACTCACCCACCACTCACTCACCCCACCACTCACTCACCCCACCACTCACTCACCCACCACTCACTCACCCCACCACTCACCCACCACTCACTCACCCCACCACTCACTCACCCCACCACTCACTCACCCCACCACTCACTCACCCCACCACTCACTCACCCCACCACTCACTCACCCCACCACTCACTCACCCACCACTCACTCACCCCACCACTCACTCACCCCACCACTCACCCCACCACTCACTCACCCCACCACTCACTCACCCACCACTCACTCACCCCACCACTCACTCACCTACCACTCACTCACCCCACCACTCACTCACCCCACCACTCACTCACCCCACCACTCACTCACCCCACCACTCACTCACCCCACCACTCACTCACCCCACCACTCACTCACCCCACCACTCACTCACCCCACCACTCACCCCACCACTCACTCACCCCCCGCTCACCCCGGCTATGTAGCTGCCTGTGGCCCGGATGCAGCTGACCGCCAGGCCGATGCCCCCGGCGGACTTGGAGATTAGGGCACACTGCTTGAGCGTGTCGTAGATGCCCTCGATGCTGTCATCCTTCATGGTCAGCAGGAAGCAGCTGCACACACAGAGACACACAGAGACACACACAGACACACACAGACACACACAGACACACACAGACACACACACAGAGACACACAGAGACACACACAGACACACACAGACACACACAGACACACACTGCTTGAGCGTGTCGTAGATGCCCTCGATGCTGTCATCCTTCATGGTCAGCAGGAAGCAGCTGCACACACAGACACACACACAGACACACACAGACACACACAGAGACACACACACAGACACACACAGACACACAGACACAGAGACACACAGACACACACTGCTTGAGCGTGTCGTAGATGCCCTCGATGCTGTCATCCTTCATGGTCAGCAGGAAGCAGCTGCATACACAGACACACACAGACACAGAGACACATAGACATACATAGACACACAGACACACATAAACACACATAGACACAGACACACACAGACACATAGACACACACACAACAGTGGGTGAGTGAGTGAGTGGGCGAGTGAGCGAGCGAGTGAATGAGTGAGTGAATGAGTGAGCGAGCGAGTGGGCGAGCGAGTGGGCGAGCGAGTGGGTGAGCAAGTGGGTGAGCGAGTGAGTGAGAGAGAGAGAGCGAGTGAGTGGGCGAGCAAGTGGGCGAGCAAGCGAGTGAGCGAGCGGGTGAGCGAGCGAGCGGGTGAGCGAGCGGGTGAGCGAGCGGGTGAGCGAGCGGGTGAGCGGGCGGGTGAGCGAGCGGGTGAGCGAGCGAGTGGGTGAGCGGCCTCACCTTGAGAGCTGGGGGCGGTTAGTGCCAGCGTTGAAGAGCGTGGGTGAAGCGTGGGTGAGCGAGCGGGTGAGCGAGCGGGTGAGCGAACGGGTGAGCGAACGGGTGAGCGAGCGGGTGAGCGAGCGGGTGAGCGAACGGGTTGAGCGAGCGGGTGAGCGAACGG